CGTATTGGAAGAATGGAGCGAGGTCACGAGATTTAAGGGCGGAATCAGTTTAAAACACAGTCGTTCGTCGTATGTCGTTCTGTTCTGTTTGTACTGAGAACGGAAATGGAACTTCTATGAAAGAATGATGAATTTACCTCCTAAATTATTTTAATACTTTGGAGGACGGAACGTTCAACACCGTGTAGAGAATAAATGAGTAGATTCTTTACAAAGAGGAACAGCACTTATGAAATATGGATAGATCTTTGTAATCAAAAGGCAGGAGTTTGCATAACACAGTTTACCACTTCAAACTAACAAGAATGTTTTTGTCAGCTGTTACATGAGTATTTCCAAACGTATACTTTTACTAAAGAGTGAAAAAAAGGACCAAATACCATGTACTTCATATCTTCATATCTTTGCAACAGTATAGTGAAACTCAACAATATTTTTGCACGATATGTTGTCTCTCGTAATATCCTGAGAACTGAAATAAAAATAATCTATATGCGAAGTTATGACTACTCAACATTTTGGTTTGAAATTAATTCCTTCTCTTTCCAATATGGACCTTTCTAGAACATGTTTTTTTAACCTTGTTGGTTCAGATGCTCTTCAGGATAGGGATAATCGTTCTTCATTGAATTTAAAGATTTTTTATAAGGAATTTTACTGACAGTATAATTACATTCAAGAAAACTGAAATGTCAGAAAGGTTGGTAAACTTTCTTTCAGGAGACTCTCCTCTTTTAGTTACGACATTTAATGCGCTTCATCTAGGAAGAATTTGCAAGGAATAATTAAATAATCAGTTTTTAATTGGAGTTCAACAATCTTGAGCCCTGGAAATTTCATTTGAATGGAACGTATGATGAGAATAGAATGATAAAAATAATTAGTACGAGTTTTAGCAAAAGAAATATGACTCAGCATCTGAATCACATTAATTATTTTTGTGCACGATCCGTCTTGATAGAATGTCTAGATCGAACAATTTCATTAGCTTGTTCACGATTGCACGTTGAACATGGCACGTACTGTGAATGGCACGCAAAGACTAGACGTTGGCGACGTTCTAAAACGTCCAGCTCCCTGATTCGCATGTAAATGGGAAGTTTATGCAGTAGTGAGTTTGTTCGTTTGGAAACTAGCACATTCCGTGCTTCTGGGAAAGATTCTGCAAGTAACAACCAAATGCGGACTTCACTCGCCCGTAGCATCGAATCGCCCGATTCTCCCCCTCCCCTTTCCTGCTTACCGGTGACTTCAATACCCGTTTCGCACGATAGGATTTGAGAGAGCTGACGAGCAGATTTCTGCGTGAATATACAAAATCTTTCGTTGACTTTTCATTCTCAGCATTTTCAGATAATTGAGTTTGCGAGTAATTTGGCTAATTATTATGATTAAGTTGAAACTCTTTTTCTGTAAAGTGCAAACATGAAATAACTGAGTTATTGGCACCAGTATCTTTGTGTGGATAGATATAAAACAATAAAAATAGAATATCACTACGAACATTATACAAGATCTTTTGAAATTTCATATTTTGGCAAACACCGAACCTTCTCTTCATTAATACATAATGATTGATTGTAGGAAAAAAAGGAATCTATAGAAAACATAAATAATTGAAGCCCCCACGAGTTTGAATACTGATTCTTTCCTTCGAATCCGTTCTGTGTTAGAAGCCTACGCTCTAGATGCTTCCTGTGCTGAAGGAAACGTGTGGGCACCACCACGTGCGGTGGCCCACATTACTGTAGAGGAGAGGCTCTAGCGGTGCGTCGACGCCGCGCGGCGGTCGCGAAGGGAAGGGACTTAGCGGTCCGGTCACAGCTCGCGCCGGCGCATCGCGCCTCTTCCGGCGACCCC